ATTCCCTTACTCTCAACTGATGTTAGCCTGATTTGAGATCTATCTTACAAAAACAAGTGGTACCCTGAAGTTCATCGAAGAGATCATCAATTCTCGGAAAATGATACTTATTCTTGAAAGTAACCTTGTTCAATAGACGATAATCTATACACATTCTAAGGGAACCATCCTTCTTCCTCACAAATAAGACCGGAGCGCCCCAAGGTGAGACACTTGGTCGAATAAAGCCTTTCTCAAGGAGATCTTTCAACTGCTCTTTTAACTCTGCTGCTGACATTCTATAGGGCGGAATAGATATAGGACGAGTATCGGTAAAAATGTCTATACCGAAGTCTATTTCTCTCTCAGGAGGGAATCCGAGAAGATCATCTGGAAAGACCTCTGGAAACTCACTCACAACTGGAACTGACTGAATAGGAGGTGTCTCAACACTAAAGTCATTAACTCAGACTAACTGATAGACACACCCCTTGGAAACTAACTTTCTTGCCTTAAGGTACAAAATAAAACGACCCTTAGGCACTGCTGAACTACTCCTCCACTCAAAGACTGGCTCATAAGGAAACTAGAACTTAACAATTTGAGTTCTACAATTGATTGAGGCATAACAGGCATGAAGCCAGTCCATACCTAGAATGACATCAAAATCTACCATATCTAACTCAACTAAGTCAGCCATGGTGCTCTTGTGATTGACGGAAATGGTACAATCACGATAGACTCTCTCAGTTAGAATAGACTCACCAACAGGTGTAGAAACACCAAAGGGCTCAAGAAGTTGCTCAGGAAGAATATCAAAATTCATGGAAATATAAAGAGTCACAGAAGATAGACTCGCTCCTGGATCTAGCAAGGTATAAACATCAAAAGTAAAGACTTTGATCATACCAGTGACAACATCTGGAGAATTTTCTTGCTATTGTCGACTAGTGATAGTATATAGGTGGTTTGCTCCTCCGTCAGTCCCTGAAGTAGATCCTCTAGGTGCAGCCATATCTGGTGGAGCAACTGAAAAAGATTGGGCTCTATTGCCACTCTTCCCATTACCTTGCCTATTCTTAGGGAACTCTTTCATGAAGTGACCCTCTTGACCACACTTGAAAAAACCAGTAGAGCCATCACGACAAGCACCTGGGTGGTTCCTACCACACTTAGCACATGTAGGAGCCCAATTACCTCATTGCGCCACACTACCTTAAGACTGTGTAGGCTTAGCTCTGAAATTCTGTGAATTCTGATTGTTGAACTCACCTATGTTCCTTGGTACAGGTGCACTACTAGATGATGGAGCAAGTCCCTTTTGCTTTAGTTCAAAAGAAGACCGCTTCACATTGCTCCTTTGCTGCCCACACTCATTTCTTGTTTCTAAATTCTTCTCTATCCCTTAGCTTCTCTTTCTCAACCTGCTGCACATAAACCATAAGTCTCACTATGTCCATCTCCTCTATTAGCATAGCTTCCTTGCCCTCCTTACTTGCAAGACAAGACAACCCAGCAACAAACAGACTCATCCATCTTCTCATATCATCAACCATCTCCGGAGCATATCGGGAAGTTGGGTGAACTTCAAATTGTACTCATGAACACTCATATGTTCCTGCTTAAGGGTAAGGAATTCTCGTACCAAGGCTTCTCTTAGTTCACGGGGAAAGAAACCCCCCAAGAAGGCCTCCTCAAACATAGATGATTAACGTTTCAAAGACACTTCATCAAATTCTAAGTGTCAACTATCGTAAATCAGTATAAACCCAACTACAGGAGTTGGAGTCGATCCCATAGAGAGTAGCTGTCTTTTAAGTTCAAATATGAAAACATGACAATGATCTCTTCAGCTAAACAAACACCACACCTAAAAGCTTAGGATTCAAATTCCAAGTTGTAGTTACTAACCCACTTCGACAATGAACACGAAACAATCAAATGACGAGGTAACACTTGGGGGATTGACTGACCAACTATTGAATTCGACTTAATGGGTAACCAACATTGCCAACAATAGGTTAATTTATCATGGGTAGAATGGACTATATGTAAAGCAAATTTCTCTCGAAGAATTACCTTATTTTTGTTGAATTCTCTCGAACTTCAACAATATCCATGAGACGCCCAACCCACTTTCTCACCAAATATACTCTTTCGAGCTAGATACAAAGGTTGAATCCCAAGTTCCACTCTCTTGGGCTGAAACCGTAATGACCCACTACTAAGGATACCAAATTACTATGTTGGTTCTATACTTCCCTCTTGAAAAAGCACAAAACTCTGAACTATATTGCACTAAATGTTCAATAATGAAGTTAACCCACGATAATAATTTAGACCCACTACAATTAATGCCAAAATTCGCTGATTGATGACACCCACTTGGTCAAATGCAACAATTGGTCACCTTGTCAAACCCCCAAGGTTAAGGTCTAACCCAATTATAGTGAAAAGATGAAATTCAATCCCCACAATGTTTTTCATAGCTGGGTAAATGGAAATCGGAAGTTAAAATTCAATAAATTATTGTCTATTACAAAACCCAAATGAAGAATATTGTTAAAAATCACTTCAGATCCCCAATAACAGTGTTTTTTTCTCTCTCTCTCTTTTGTTACTCCCCGATTTTTGGATGCCTCTCTCCCCTGTGAAAAAATCAATTTATGCAAGTCTGATGTGTGGTTGTTTGGAACCAATCGGCGAGGTAAGCCGGGCTTCGTCGACCGTTTGGCGACTCATCGAATTTCCTTTGTCTCGCCTTCATTTTTATCCTCTTCTCAGTCCCACCACTGTATTTTTTGGCGAGCTAGATCGGGATCGCCATCTCATTCGGCGACGCGTCTTTTTTCCTTTCATCTCGCCCATTCGCACTTATTTAGATTTTCATCAGTACTTTTGGCGACCTAGTCATATATCATTGATGCGATCGGCGTCGCGTTGATTGGAACTGATGTTTACCGAAACTGCTCCTAATCTAGCCTCAACATTCTGGAACTTTAGGCGGTAGAGTGGCAACTTCGTGAGTTGCCGAGTGACATCGACGATCATCAGGCTTGTTTTTCCCTTCTCTTTTTCGCTCGTGTTGTCTCTGTTGTCCATTTCTATCCTAGCTTTGTTCCTAAATCCATATATCTGAAGATCAAGGGTTTTATATCAGTTGTTGGCACAAAATAAGCATTTGAGGACACTAAACCATTATAAATAAAGCCCAAAATGAGTTCAAATCTCCGACTCATCAACACCCCCAACTTAAACTTTTGCTTGTCCTCAAGTAAAACTCAAGTTCAGCCGTTCAAAAAGGATGACTCAAACAGTGCTTCACAAGACTAAATCATGAATGAACACAACGAGACTCGACTTACTCATGCAAGGGTCAATTGTGCACTCAAAGTTTCAAGTTGTGACTTACCATTACCAAAGATTCTCAAGCTCACAATACTTGCTTCAAATGCAAGTTCAAGCTCAACAAAGGTGCTCAAATGACCTCACACAAAGAATGATTCCATATTCACACAATAATCTTCAACAATTTCAAGCTCCGTAATCACATACAACTCTCACACTCGCAAAGATAAACACATACATGACTTCACCCATAGGTTTGCCCTTATTTTCCAACCAACACTTGTTTCAGCTCACTCAAGATCAAAATGGTCTTTTCAAGGCTTGTAATGGGGCTGACTGCAAAGGTATGGTCATTTAGGCTCAGTGGCTTCTATCCTCATGAAATACAGTACGAACATCACTTCATTTCCTTTTTCTTTATCATTCTCATTCATGATCAAAAATCACCCCATTATTCACTTTCCATGGAATACCAGACACCCAATTTCTTTTGCATCTTTATTTCACAACTTGTTCATTCTTTTTCTTTTTCCTTCTTTTCTTTCTCTCTCCTTTTTTTTGTAATGAGGGATTCTATCTTTTTCAAAACCATGGGTAAAAGGGGATTCCTTCACACTTGTTGATTTACCGTCTCTTTTCACCACACCATCAACTTAGGCTTTTGGCCTAAGTTGGCTATTCCAACAAACCACATCTCATGATGATTAAGGGTGAAAGAATAAAGAAATGTCACAATTGCATCAAGTTTCTTCCAAGAAAAGGGTAAGGCTCAAAAGGGGTTCAAGCGAGGCTCACACACTCATAAGGTAGGCCACAAAAGAGGTATAATGTAAAATTAGTTCACTCTTCAACATTGTTGCCTAAGATCATTTCAAGAGTTTGCATTACTTTGTCGACTGGACCAGCGGGGAAAATTCTAGGTGTCGTCACACATGGTTCACGATAAGCTTATCACACAAGGCATTGGAACCAATATCAAACAAGACTCCACACTTTCGCTAGTGTACAATGTTCATCACAAGAGACTCAATTCGATAATCGGCTAGTCACAACGAGATGCAAACAGTTCACATATTGTCTATGCAACTTCATTTGACCTTATCGTAGCCACACATTCATTTTTGTTCGATTGAGAGCACCATTCAAGAGATCGGTATTGATCATAATCGATACTCAAATTTGCACAAGAACAGCCACAATTAAACACACAACAGGTGGCAAAATATTTTTAGAAAGGTCCAAACACACAAAGAAAGGAGCTCACTGACCAAGCGCACACCCCCACCAAAAGCATTCAACATTGTCCTCAATGTGAGTAGAGAACAGACAATCCCACAAATAAAATAAGAAAAAAATAAAAAAACTAACAAGTAAAGATAAAATTCTAGTATGTAAACATGCAGAGCAAGGTGACGAGGAATCTTCACAAAGCGCCAATTGACGAGAAAATGAAACAGTCGCCGAACGCCTTGGCGGTGCGCCCAAAGGTCTTGATATCGCCTTTAGTTCCAGTGTGCGACACTCTCAGAAAGGGGCAAATCGGCGGAGATGAAGGAGATCGCCGAAAAGGTTGGCGATTCGCATAATGGACTTGTGGCATCACCGAACAATCATTGAGTTAAGCTATCAGCGTTGATGTGGAAGGGTGGGAAAAATTAGGTCACCTAAGCACATCAACGATTCGCCGAGTGGTGAAGGTCTCCCGCCGAATATTCCAGTATCTTAGCTCCATTTTTTAAGTCCATAAGGAGGACTATATCGTGCTCGCCGAATGGATTCGGCGATCTGCCAATAGCATCTTTTTCTCGCACAAGATCTTGCGCCTGCAAAATCAACAAACATTATTTTAAACACTAACACTTGGGTTGCCTCCCAAAAAGAGCCTTATTTAACGTCGTGGTATAATGTGAAAATGCTTTCAAGCATCTTCCAGGTACACCACTTCAATCAGAGAAATATCTTGGCACTCGCCAAAGTATAACTTCAAGCATTGCCCATTCACCTTGAATACAGGTCCTTCTTGACCTTCAACTTCGATGGTACCATTTGTGAACACTCGCGTCACTCTAAATGGCCTTGACCATTTGGACTTGAGCTTTCTCGGAAAGAGTCTAAGTCGAGAGTTATATAGTAATACCCAGTCTCCCACTCTGAACTCCCTTTTAAGGATTTTAGAATCATTCCATTTCTTCATATTTTCCTTGTAAAGGGCTGAACTTTCGTAAGCCTTGAACCTGAATTCGACCAACTCATTTATCTGCTCTACTCTCTCCTTTGAAGTCTTTGTCCAGTCCAGATTTAGAGATTTCAATGCCCATAATGCTTTGTGTTCCAATTCAACTGGTAGATGGCAAGATTTACCAAAAACTAGCTGATACAGATTCATACCGATTGGTGTTTTGTATGAAGTGTGATACGCCTATAGTGCGTCATCAAGCTTTCGAGACCAATCAGTCCTATTAGAATTCACCGTCTTGGCCAAGATGCTTTTGATCTCCTTATTTGACACTTCAACTTGACCGTTCATTTGGGGATGATACGGAGTTACTACTTTGTATTTCAATCCATACTTACTCAATGCGGCTAAAAACCACTTGTTGCAAAAGTGGGATCCCCCATCACTTATAAAAGCCCGAGGAGTACCAAATCTAGCAAAGATGTAGCATTTCAGGAATTGAATAACATTTGTCCCTTAATTCTTTGGAAGTGCAACAGCCTCCACCCATTTATAAACATAATCTACGGTCACCAAGATATACTTATTACCAAACTAACTCACAAATGGACCCATGAAATCTATTCCCCAAACATCAGGTAGCTCAACTTCTAAAATGGGCGTAAGAGGCAACTCGTGTCTTTTGGATACTCCACCTTGCTTCTGACATTGAGTGCACTTCTTAAAAAACTCATGAGCATCTTTGTAGAGAGACGAACAGTAGTAGCCACTTTGGAGAACTTTAGCAGTTATACGTACACCACCATGATGACCCCTCGATAAAGCATGACAAGCATGGAGGATTTCGATGGCTTCTTCTTTCGAAACACATCTCCTAATGATATAGTTTGAACACTCTTTGAATAAATATGGTTCATCCCAAAAGTACTTCTTAACATCGAACAAGAACCTCTTTTGTTAATAAAAGTTCGTCCAGCATTAACCCACACACTACGTAATTGGCAAAATCAGCATACCAAGGAGGTTGTTTGACAGTTACCATGAATACCTGTTCATCGGGAAAAGAATCATTTATGTCGATCTCCAGCTCGTCATTTTCCTTTCCTTCCAATCTTGATAAGTGGTCTGCCACCTGATTTTCACAACCTCTCATATCTTTGACCTCGAAATTGAATTCTTGCAATAGTAGCACCCACCTTACCAATCTTGGCTTGGCAACCTTCTTGGCCATCAGTTAACGCAGTGCAACATGATCAGTGTGAACAACCACTTTAGTACCTCGCAAGCCTGGAACTTCTCAAACGCATAAACTACTGCAAGCAACTCTTGTTCGGTAACGGTATAGTTACGTTGAGCACTGCTTAGAGTCTTGCTTGCGTAGTAAATGGGTGAAATAGTTTATTGCGTTTTTACCCCAATACAACGCCCAATGTCGTTCCGCTTGCATCACACATTACTTTGAAGGATTCTGACCAATCGGGACTAATGATGACCGGGGTGGAGACCATTTTTTCTTTCAAGCACTTGAAAGCCACCATGCAAGCATCATCAAAGTGGAATTTTACCTCCTTCTCCAAGAATGTGCATAGAGGATTTGCAATCTTTCAGAAGTCTTTGATGAACCTCCGGTAAAAACCGGTATGTCCCAAGAAACTACGAACACCCTTCACCGAAATTGGTGGTGGTAATTTCTCAATCACTTCAATCTTCGCTTTATCAACCTCCAGCCCCTTTTGCGACACTTTGTGACCAAGAACTATACTTTCCTTAACCATGAACTGCATATTTCCCAAGTTAGGACCAAATTTGTTTCCATACACCTTTGGAGAACTTGTCCTAAGTATGTTAAACATACTTCAAAAGTGTCACCCACAACCGAGAAGTCATCCATAAATACCTCCATTGAATCCTCCACCATATCAGCAAAAATAGATAACATGCAACGTTGAAATGTTGTCGGCGCATTACATAACACGAACGACATATGTTTGAAGACAAAACTTCCATATGGGCAGGTGAATGTGGCTTTCTCTTGGTCTTCCGGAGCAATGGAGATTTGGTTATAACCGGAATACCCATCCAAAAAGCAATACCAACCTCTTTCTGAGAGTCGATCAAGTATTTGATCTATGAAAGGCATGGGAAAGTAATCCTTTTCAGTCCACGAATTTAACTTTCGGTAATCCATGCATACTCTCTATCCGGTCACCGGTCTCATAGATACAAGCTCCCCATTTTCATATGGGACTACTGTGATGCCTCCATTTTTTGGTACACATTGTACCGAACTTACCCATTTGCTATCTGCGATAGGGTAGATCACACTTACGTCCAACCACTTTATTATCTCCTTTTTCACCACCTCTTGTAACGGTGGGTTCAATCTCTGCTGATATTCCACACTCGGGTTACAATCACGGTCAAGTTGAATTTTGTGAGTAAAAATACCAGGAGGAATTCCCACTATGTCAGCGATAGTCCAACCTATAGCTTTGATATGCCTTCTCAATACCTCAAGGAGTAATTTTACTTTCCATTCAAGCAAGTCAGCTGCAATGATCACCGGTAAGGAGTTATTTGCTCCCAAGAAAGCATATCGGAGATGGGTGGGAAGTACTTTCAACTCCATATTTGGTGGTTCTTCTATTGATGGCTTTGTGGGAGGACTTTCTCGATTTTTTAGATTAATGTCCAACTTCAATGGAGTATTTGAATACCCCCCTCCCTAAGCCTGAAAGAGCAGCTACCACCTCTTCATAGCCTTGAATTTTGAATTCGTCATAGTTAGCAAGCACGACTTCAAGTGGTTAACTCATACACATCAAATGGCTAACACTAACCACCGCCTTATCAATAACATTAACAGTGGAGACCACGTGAATATCACTTGGGTGTTTCATTGACTTACAAACATTAAAGGTTACTTCATCTTCGTTCACCCAAAACTTCCGTTCTCCGCTTTCTACATCCATCAACACTCTCCCGGTTTCCAAGAATGGTCTTCCCAAAATGATGGGAATTTCTGCATCAATTTCACAATCGAGAATGAAAAAATCAGCCGATAAAATGAATCGGTCAACCTTTACCAAGATGTCATATAGTATCCCCATAGGATGTTTAATTGATAGGTCCACCATCAAGAGTCTCAATGTTGTGGCTTTCGATTCACCCAACCCAAGTTGTTTATAGATCGCATATGGCATTAAGTTGATGCTTGCTCCCAAATCGCATAGGGCTTTACCAAATTGGAGCATGCCGATGGTGCAAGGGATGGGGAATGCTCCGGGATCTTCTCTCTTTTTGATCAGCTCCTCAGTCATAATTGCACTACAGCTATGAGAAACTTCAATTTTCTCAAAATCCAAGCTCCTTTTCTTTGTGACTAACTCCTTCATAAACATGGCATAACCCGGCATCTCCAACAATGCTTCAACTAGAGGGAGATTAATTGATAATGTCTTGAACATCGATAAAAACTTCTTGAACCTCTCATCCTCATTCTTCTTTTTGAGACGTTGGGGAAATGGAGGCAATATTTTGGGTAAAGGTTGCATAACTTTTGGGATTGGGTTGTGTTTCTCCACGTCTTTTTGTGGTCTTTTGGCAATGCTTTGATGGATAAGTGTCTCTTCTTATTCCATACTTTTGTCTTCTTCATGCATTTACGCTTCTTCATTACCCGTAACATCACCTATTGCTACCTTTCCACTATGAGTAACCACAGTCATCCCTCTATCAGCATCTTCTAATGTCATTTGTGGTTTCAATTGTGCTGAAAGTAACTCAACTGACCTTCAAGTATCTTGATTGCATCTGTGTGAGAGTTCACTTTATTGTTCAATGATGAAAAGTCAGCGTTCATCCCTTTTAACAAATCATCTTAACCATCAACTTAATCAAGGATGTGTAATAGAAAATCATTCACCCGGGGACTACTTGCACTCCCTTTCGACTTTGGGCTTCCACTCGAGTGTTTGTAATCCTCTTCATGGTCATCCTCTTTTTTCCAATAATCACTTTCCTCAGCCCAACCTTGATGGTATCTTCTTTGCTCTTCCCCCTTGTGATAGTTCCAACCTTGATTCCCACCTCACTGTAAATAGCTTGGGTGGAAACCCTCCTCGTATCTCTTGGAGTTCCAACCTTGATTCTCCCCCGGCTTGGAATAACCTGAGGAAGAACCCTCCTCAACTCTAAATACGTCACTTGTCCCCTTGGGCTTTCCCAGATTCTCCATCATATGCTCTTGTAATAGCTCCATTTGGGTCAACACCTTTTTGATGTTTGGATCCCTCTCTCTTTCCTTATCAAGTTGCTCCTGTGTCATTCTAAAACAAAAAGGAGAAACTTGATCTCTGTGAGTGTACCAAGCATGATTTATTTTTGCCATGTCATCAAAAAGAAATGAAGCCACCTCAAATGATGGCAACATTATTCCCCCTCATACCAATTGATCAGCCACTCCTTTATTAATCAAATCAAGACTCCGGTAAAAATATTGGAGTAATAAATAGTTTGGTAGCCCGTGAGTTGGGCATTTAAGTAAGAGTTTCTCAAACCTCACCACGTTTCATGGATAGGTTCACCCTCCCATCACTTGAAATGTTGAATGTCATCTCTAAGTTTCATCATCCTTGATGGGGGAAAGAATCTCGCATTGAATGTTATAATCAGCTCCTCCCATGAGGCGATGGAATTGTTTTGTAATTCGGCCAACCACTTGCTGGCCTCCCCCGTCAAAGATAGTGGAAATAACCTAGATGCACACCTCTATAAAATTTCTTACATATTCATGCAGGTCTTCGTATTCTAGCCCTCCATAGAGTCCTCGCATTTGGAGGACATAAAGAGTCGTGCTCGTGACCTCAAATATTGCATTTCCATCAGTTTGTGGTAGGAAAATTGCACCCATTTAACCTGGTTGCGATGAGTTGTAAACACTATTGATATCATTGATAGCGTCCCGATGACCTGCTTGGCTACCATTCGTCTCTTCCTCACTCAGTTTTGTAATTCTATTTAGTCCAATCAACACTACACAATGCAGTCTAAGCTGATTCAACTACATCCAACAAATTTACAAGTTAAATCTTCGATAAAAGAACTCTAAGTAACGGTACTCCCCGGCAACGGTGCCATTTTTATTAACGTTTCAAAGACACTTCATCCAATTTTAAGTGTCAACGGTCGTAAATCAATATAAACCCAAGTACAGGAATTGGAGTCAATCCCACAAAGAGTAGAATTCTTTTAAGTTCAAATATGAAAATATGACAATGATCTCTTCAGCTAAACAAACACCATACCTAAAACTGGGTCACCGACTCAAGAGTTGGGGTTTCGGAGCTTGAATCCTTAACCCAAACTGGATGATAGAGATACCCTTTAGAGATCATCTTTTTGGCCTTAAGGTAAGAGATAAATCGACCCATAGGCATTGAGCTACTACCCTTTTATTCTAGGATTGGGTCGCCTGGAAACTGAAAACGAACGATCCTAGTTCTACAATCGACTGAGGCATAACAGGAATGTAACCATTCCATGCCTAGAATGATATCAAATTCTACCATTTCTAACTCTACAAGATCTGCTCAGGTGACTTTCTGGTATACTGTGACATGGCAATTTTTGTATACCCGTCTAGCTATAATTGGGTCACCGACTGGAGTAGACATTGAGAAGAGTTCTGAGAGAGTTTCTGGACTGACACCAAAGTTCACTGCTATATTTGGAGTTACAAAGGAAAGAGTAGCCCTTGGATCTAACAAAGCATAAACATCTAAATGAAAGACTCGCAACTTACCCATAACCACATCAGGAAAATCTTCCTGATCCTAGTGAGCCTGGAGAGCATACAACCTATTTTTGCGCTGACTGCCACTTGTACTAGATGAAGTACCCTGCTGAGTTGGGTGACCAACTGATGTTGCTGAAGATGTAGATTGAGCCTTATTATTGTTACCTCCTTGCCCCTGTTTAGAAGAAGGGCAATCCCTCAACCCACACCCAAAACATTCATCATTTCCTGTAAGACACTCGCCCAGGTGGTTCTTACCACACTTTGGACAAGTTGGGTAGGTTCTGGTACCTGAAACACTCCCCTGAGACTTAGAGCATGATGCCCTACCTTTTTGATCATGTCGAAACCTGGGGAATGGAGCACTAGTTGATGAAGATGTTAGAGCTGAAGACCTTTACTTAAACTGCGAGAAATTTCCACCACCCGATTTCTGCTGAGAGTACTCATAAATGCATATCCTAGACTTTTTGTTATCCTTAGCCTGTTACCTAAGCTTATCTTCCTCAACCTGTTGAGCATGAGTCACGAGCCTAGAGATATTCATGTCCTCTAACAACATAGTGTTTCTGCACTCTGTCTTCACCAAGTCAAACACTCCAAAAAGGAACTTACTCATTTGCGTCGTGGGATCGGCAACCATATGTGGAGCATACCTGGAGGGCTAGGTGAACTTTAGTCCGTAATCTTGGACTGTCATAGAACCTTGCCTCAAATTCATGAACTCCTGAGTTTTTCCTTTCCCAACTCCCTTGGAAAGAACCTATCCAGAAAAGATCTGGTTAAACACTCCCAAGTCACAAGAGCTGCATTATAACCCCTGTTTTTCTTCCATTGAGTGAACCAAATGTGAGCTACATCCTTGAGCTGGTAGGATGCCAACTCTACCTTATCACTTCCGGTCACCTGCATCACTCCAAAGATCTTCATGACCTCATCAATAAAGTTTTGGGGATCCTCACCAACTTGCGACCCTAGAAACTTAGGTGGATTCATCCTAACAAAATCACGGACCCTAGATGTCACTGATCCACCACTAGTATTTGCAGGAACTGGAACCTGTTGATTGTTCTGGTTGGCTACACTCTAGGCCAAAGTTGAATGGCATGCCGAAACTCTGCATTCGAAACCTCATGGTTTGGGACTGGAGGAACTGTGTCAGCATTATGGGCATTAGCATTCCTTGCGTAAGCTCTACGAGGATGCATGATTTGAAACGCATAACGTCGAGTTAGAAAGGAGATCATACCCACGCACAATAAGAATAACAAGAAAGTGAAGCTTTTCCTAAAACACTTCGTAGCCTCCCCCTCATAGGTGTGGCACACTTCACACTCATTAAAGGGACTCTACTTAGTGCGGCTTTTCAAACATCCTCAGACTCTTAAACCTAATGCTCTGATACCAAGTTTTTCATGCCCTAGGCTACCTCCTAGAAGTAACACGGGACTTAGGATCATGAGTGACCCCAAGCTAACCCTGAACCGGCATATCATAAGCATACTTAAAGATTTACTAAAATGAGAAATATTGTGTGGAAGCTTTAAATCAAAAGATAAACTGAAATGGGGAGTACCCAATACTGATTTGAGTCACATACTCAATAAGAGTTTACAATACTAGATTATAACTCAAAATAGGGTTCATGCTGAAATATACTGATAATGTGGCGTTCGAAACTGGAACATGCATATCTATTTATTTCTCCTAGCTAGTTTAATTCATGAACTAAAAGAACTACACAACTAGGGTTTTGAGTTTCATGTAAGAATCTACGCAAAAATATTAATAAGACATGATAATTTGATTAAGAACGTTACAACAACTAAATCATAATAATTATCTGAAGTTCTAGAAACCCTAGGTCTAGATCATATGAAGGGAATCAAGAAACTGACTAAATTCTAGGGACCTAATGGGTGAAAGGAACCCACTAATGAAATTCCACATACCTGGTGACAAATTTCACGGATAAATCTTTCAATTTCGGGGATAGGACTGAGGGAAACTTGGTGCATTCTTGGAGAGGGTTGGTCGACTCTTTTCTCCCTTTTTTCATTTCAGATTTCAGATTTTTTGGTGAATGAATCGCTTATGGTAAAGTCTGATTAAGTTACTAGGCACTGATCATAACGACGTAGTTTAGGGGTTAAACAACGTAGTTTAGGTGTCCAACGCATAGGGAAAAGACCAAACGACCCCTGACTTAAAAGTTGTCGGTGCCAATCGATGGGCCTGACCGTCGGACCATCGATCGACTGACGGCCCCATCCTGTCAGTCCATGGATCGACTTCAGATAAGGGGTTTAGGGGTCTTGATCCACGGACCAACCTGTGTTCTGACCTACGGTCCGTAGGTCCGGCCGTGGGTCGACCCTTAGAAGAATTTTCTGGGTTTCGGTGGGGGGAGCTGTATGTGGTCAACAATGGACCCCACCTACGGTACGTGGGTCAACCTATGGTCTGTAGGTGGCTCCGTTGGTGGCACCTGCAACTTCTGAAATTCTGCATTTTTGGTCTTTCTAGAATACGGGGTGTTACAGAAGTGGTCCTTATCTATGCTAAATACGATGCTTCCCAATTTCGATACATATTGACCTTTATAAAAGTGACCTCCATGGTGAAAAATAGCTATTATATGATATGTAACAAGCTGTAAAAAAAATAGTGATTTTACACTCATGGTGACAAAAAGATTCTACCTTGTAACAAAGATAAACTTTCAAAAGGGCAAAATTGAGGCATACCTGGACTAAA